GAATGTCAGACCTTCTTGTAATACATTAAATTGTTTTAAAATTAAAAAATTTTGCTCGTTGAAAGAAAAGATAAATGCATTACTTATAGCATTATATGAGCAAAATCTTCTGATTTAAATGATTTTATTTATACCTTATTCGTCTGTGATTGAGGGGAAGTTCAAGTACACAATCAGATGTATTTCGGTATCACGATAATAGACTCTCAGAATTGCGATCACTTGTCCCTAATATAATTCCAGAAACTGCAACTAAACAATAAAAACGATAAACAATAATTTTCATTTACTCGGCTAGATTATTTATTTACTAGTCAAGAAGGAAACATCGTAATAGCAGAGCTATAGGATGAGTTCTACTAGTCATACGCTGAGTAGGCGGAGCCGGAATTCGAACCTCTAATCCTGCTGCTATGGCCAATAATTATTCCGAACTTATAACAGTGCTTTAAACAACTGAGCTACCATTATTGATAATTTTTGTATGCATAATTTGGTTATTATATCATCTACACCAGAAAAAAGAAATATTAAATACAGCCTGATACATATTGACTCATGAGATCCAGAGAAATTTTTCTACCCAGTTGTTCAAGATATTCTTTCAAATACTTATTCAGCTAAATGAACTTTAGTCTTTTCTGCAACTATGATTTGAATCAATTCATGGTACTTTCACAAAGAAGTAGGTGAAAATATAAAAGCTATCTTGATAAAACATATGGTCAATTTCATTCCAAAACAGATTTTAATGATGAAAAATAAAATAAAACAAAAAAATATATACATAACCTCCATAACTTGATCAAGCTTCATTTATTTGTTCGAAATTATTATACTATTCGTTTCTTCTGCTGTTGGTGCAGTTATCAATATCCTTTGTGAGTTTTCTTTAAGAATTTTACAACCTCTTGAGACGGCATTTATATTTTTTTGTATTTTTGCTAATGTTCTTCTTACATTTGTATAGCATGTTTTACAAATGCAATGATAGTAATTTGAATAAATTAGTTTTTCATTTATGATTTTTTCTATACTTAGGCCAGCCTCTGTTATTTTTTCCCTATTATCCCATCGATTAATTTTCATAGAATCATCATCATTGGATGAATAACTTTGTGTGATATCCTGGAGACATAAAATGCACACGTTTAATGAACTAGGATGTAAGAAAAGCTCATAAGGTTGTGCCTTTTTTTTTTGGCAATGGTAAAATGTTTTTTTTTTTTGAAGCAATGAAACATTAAGATCATTGGATTGAAAATCAAACAACTTATTCTTTGTTTATTAAAAACTGGATGTCATGTTGCAATATAAAAGTACACCAAAACTTATGAGTATGTAAAAAGCAAAACAAAATTTTTGAATTTAATAAATTAAATTTCAAAATAATCTGACTGAATTTGAACTCCAAACATTTATATATTTATACTTATGTCAAATAAGGATGCTTAGCAAAAAATTGTGATGATTGGAGCTTGGGAACCAAAAAGTCTTAAAATTTTGCCCCCCCCCTGCCCCAAACGTGAGAGCAACAAGTTGATGAAATACTTTTTGTACTATTTTCAACTAGACTTATATTCATCGATAAATTTTAACTTTCATATTATCTCTCAGCCTCAAATTAAGGGGGGGGGGGGTTTAAACTTTATATGGTCATAAATTTTGAATGCTAAAATATTTTACCAAAAAATGCAATTGGCGCCACTGATTAATAATGTGTCTTTTTTTAGTTTGAAATATATTAGACGTATCTTAAATTTAGTAAAATAGTTGATAGTTTGTTGAAAATGGTTGATAATTGTTTTTTAAAAAGTTTGTTACCCCCGTCCTTAAACCTGCTAACGTAAATATTTTTTGCCATTATCATTTTTTTAAATAACCAAAGTTTTCTCGTCTGACTTCCCAAAGTTCACAGGAAAAAAAAAGTCAGACGAAATATCGTTTAAGCCCAATCGTGCTTGTTGCCTTAAGTTTTAGTTAAATTGGCTGTCCATAGTCACCGCGTCGACGGTAGTCTACTGTTCGCGGTTGTTTTTTTTAAAAAATGTTCTTTTTATTTAAAAAAAAAAAAAAAATGAAAAAAAATCATTTAAATTGATACTAATTCAAAGTTTATATCTTGACACTTGTTAGTAGATTTAATATTATTAATATAATATTTATTTAAAAAAAAAGTTTTACAGACTACTTAAAAAAATCTTTCTTAAAATCTTTATTTATTACTAATAAATAACGATTTTAAGAAAGATTTTTTATGTAGTCTGTAAAATTATTCATTCAAAGACTATTTATCAAGTTCAAAAAAAAGAATATCAGAAAAACTTTTTCTGGTATTTTCTTTTCTGAATTTGATAAGTAGTCTCTTTCAACAAGAACTGTTTTATTAGACATCTAGATATGAATATTTGAAATAAAATCAAAAAATTTATGGCAATAAACCATTTGGTTTTGGTATATCTCTTAGTAGATATCTATTAAGGAGATATACCAAAACCAAATGGTTTATTACCATAAATTTTTTGATTTTATTTCAAATATTTTACTCTAGCAAAGTATCTCTCTTTACTGATTTCATTAATGCATTATTGTGATTAATGTTACTATTCGCTGTACTAAATCATTATGGAAAAGCAGATACTAGTTTAATAATCAGTTTTTTTTTTCTTCCAATTTTCATTGTCTACGTGTCATATAATAAACACTAAAAACACACTTTGTTTGATTTTAAATCTGCCACCGTGGAGCAGTGCAAGTTAACTAATTAGTTAATAATTTATGAGATATAGTGCTCATTTATTTTATATGGTGTCACAGTTATTCGCACCTTAACACTATTTGTAATTCTAATTTCTGTACATAAATTGTTCCAGTAAACGAAACCATCTCAAACTTAACATTATATTGTAAAAACAGCTCATAAAACACCTAAAGCAATTAGTTTCAAGTTATTGTAAAAAATCTTTTATATATTAACATTTAAATATGATCGATTTGCTGTCCCAAGTTATTGGCACTTTGACTCAATTGTTGGCACTCGCAACTCAATTATTGGCATCACTTTTAATTCAGATCTAGAGAACCTAAACAGCAATTTTTTATCCTTTTTTACTTTTGCTTTTTGTTTGACACTAAATACAAAATTATAAAGTATGTTATTATATTATTATTATAGTTTAGTGGTGTAGCTGGTAAAAGCACTACAAAGTGTTAATTGCACACTTTTGCATTATAAATTATCACTTATATATTGTGCCATAAAAGTTTTTGAGTTCCTTCAAAGATTTTGTGAATACAGTTTTTTCTGGAAAAGAATTCCATAATCGTGTGATTCTATTTGTTATAAAGTTATGTCTAATTGTGTTAGTAATAATTTCCGTGTTGTATGTAAACTTGTGACCTCTTGTATTTAAATTTTTAAAAGTTGCGGATTGATGAGTTTAATTTTGTCTCTTTGTTTAAATATTTTACACAAAATGCATCACAACTACTTTAGTTGTGATGTTGGATGATGATGGCAGAAAATTTTAAAAAACTATTTTTCAGGGATTATCTTTTTGCGGATATTTCCAGAATTCCGGATATTTTTTTTAATTTTTAGTATTTTTGGATATCCAAAACGTTTTCTCTACATAAAAGTTTAGGTGTATATTTTTGTAATATATTTGTTTTTAATGCTTTTTCACTCATCACTCATACAAAAATTGAAAATTTTTTTTGAAATAACTCAGCTAAATTCAAAATTAAGAGGAAAATAAGGGAAAATATATTCCGGATTTTTTCCGGATATTATACCCAAACAATTTTCCGGGTTTTTGAAATAAGACCTGGATGATCTATGATTTTTAGTTTTTTTAAATTATACTATTTATTAGATAAATATGATTCTCATTTTTTGTTCCATAATGCATTTTGTCGACATCAAAAAATTTTTTTTGACCAAAGAACAGCTTTATTTAATACTTCTCACATGGCTCTCCTATCTACTGTGTAGGTGTAGGTCCAGTTCTGCAAACAAGGTTGCTTGCACCAGATAACTTTGTTTGCAAGTTGCTGCCCTGAGTTGTATTTTTTTTTGAAACTAGTTTGATAGACATAGCAGAATTTTCAACTGATTCCGGAACTCTTTTCATGTAATTAATATCATAAATGCTTTCTCTTTTTAACTTGTTATTGTTATTACTGGACTTCTGTTTTGTAGATTTTAAATACATTAATGAAAATCAAAATAACTTACAAACATTGACTTAAAACAAATATTAAAAACAACTGATAAAAAAAGTTCGTTAAAAAATTTATGAATTTTTCCAACTTATTAGACAAGATGTAAAAAATATTGCCATGCCAATAATTGAGTTGTTGTCGCAAATATTGCACCCTAATTAAAAAAAAAATCATAAGAAATTTATATTCCAGTACAAAAGTTATTTTCTCAGTTTTAAAATAGTATTGCAAGTTACCTATAATGTCATTTTAGTCTTAGAATGTTAATATAAAAGAAAATTGAAATAATTCTCACTGCAATAGGAATTAATGCCTTAACTTGATTAAAAATTGCTCAAAATGCAATCTTTTTTCAAGCTAGACCTGAAAATTAATAGTTTTTTCTCAAATGCCAGATAATGGATATCTCTTTCATAATTTTTTTTCAATAAAGTTAATATGAAATTTGTGATAACAAATAAAAAGTGTTGATAATTGAGTCATGCCGTCAACTAGAACACTATCATTTGGTTATTTATAAATAACAATGCTCCTGATACTGTTACAGAACAGTGAGAATCTCACTATTTGTGAAATTTGACAGATCACTACAGTATCTATTGATGTTAAAGTGAAGAGCTGACTTATATTAATAAACATTTTTGTTTATATTCAATTTTATTATTTAAAATTTACTGTGTATTTATTATTTTGGGCCTTGAGGTGTTAATGAATTTAATTAATTGATTATTTTCTCTTTTTAACAAGTTTTAATTGAAGTAAACTTGTGGATAAAGATCCTCAATGATTTACAGTTTTATTTTCTAGCTTTTAAACTTGATTGAATTTTTAAAATTTAGCAACATGGCATTTAAAATTGATTTGCATTCTCATATATTGCCAAAAGAATGGCCCTGTTTAAAGCAGGTTGTTTTTTTAAATATATTTATTTATTAATAGTTTAATATTAATCTACTGTTGTGATAAAATGTCTTGTTTTGAACACTCAAAGTGTTTTATAGTGAAATATTTTTCTTGAAAAATAGAGATATGGCTATGGTGGATGGATCCAACTTAATCATTGCACAGATGTAAGTTATACAATTTTTTTTTTTAATTTACTTTCAATATTTTGGCTTTTTTTTGTAAAAACATTCAAAATCAACAAAAAAATATGTTTTCTGTTGCAAGTCCTGTTAAACATGTTTAAAAAATGAAAGATAAGAAGAATATAGTAAAAAAAGGAACAAAAAAAGTTTATGTCAAAAGTAAAAAGGTTTACAATAAAAAAAGATTTTTATTATTTACTCATTCATTACTCATTCATTCATTGTCCATAAAACAAAGTAAATATATAACTATAAACAATTCTAAATAGATAAATTAATAAATAACACAAAAAGGCTTTAGTGTCTAACTGAGGATAAAAATAAAATAAAATTTTTCATTAGGGTAGCTGTAATATGATGAAAGATGAAGAGTTCTTTAGAAAAATTAATTCCAACTGCTATGATCCAGAAACAAGAATCAAAGAAATGGACGATACAGGTAAATATTTTTTGTATAATAAAGGTAAAACATGTCAGCTAAATTATTTTAGCCATCATTTTTAGCCCTTCCAATTATACTTTATAATTAAAGCAGATAAACTTTATCTAACTTTATATGAGCAGTGTTGGTTGAAAATGGAGAATTTTATTGCACTCTTAAACATACAAACATTATCAGCGTTTTCATCTTTTGATGTCAGACTATTCCAAAGGCTAACATCTTGTTGAGAAAGCATTATTTGCAAACATCGAGTCATTATTCTTGCTTGTGTATCTTATAAAAATGGCCACACATAATTATTATTGTTAATTTCAAAAAAAGAACTTTTATATGTACAAACTATATTATGCTTTATTTTAAAGCATTTCATTAAATCAAATCTGAGCTCAAAATAAACCAAGCACCTGAAAGTTACCCTTAAGCTAATAAGGTTAACAGTTTTTTTGACAAATCTATTTTGGACATTTTAAAATAGACTTTATTAACTTAATTAGTGTGATAATCAAAGTGGGAAGCAATATTCGGTAATTGGTTTTATAAAAGTAGTGAATAATACTACTTTTAAAAGACCAAAAAAATAAAATCTAAGATGCTAGGATTACAAATTTCAAAACATTTTAAGATAAAGTATTGCCTAGTAATTTCTATGTGGATAATTCTAGCAATGTTTTTTTTTTAGTTTAGTTGGAAGTCCATAGTTAATCCAGGATTAACTTTGGGTTCCCTAGTTGCACTAGTTAGACGACCAATCACTATCAATTAACTTGAAGTTAAAATTAATGCCATGCTGCATTGAAGCAGGTGCTAATCATTGTGCAGAATGCTTACTGATGGCAATTAGCATGAACACTTCGATGAAGAGCAACAGTTATATTGTAACTTTGTTTTGGATATACCATCATAATGATAAGATGTGCTGGATTTAATTTTCACTAAGGTTTTGTACACTGATTCTTCAGAAAAGTTAATGGTATTAATACTTATTGAATCCTTGGCATAACTATTATGAAGTTAATTATTATATTCTGTAAAAACACTTCCAAAGTGATTATTTAACAAATTAGCAATATCTATATTACTGGAAGTTAGATTATTGTTGTTGTTTTTTTGTCTATAAAGTGGTAGATCTTATTAGGGATAATCAGTTTATATATGATAACAGTACTGAAGACCCTCTACATCAGCATTAGCAAAGTTTTTAAAAAAATTAGATTTATGTTCACACTGGTTAAAATCATTCATATTTATAGAAAATAGAGATATCACTTTAAGTAAAAATATTATAAAAAATAAAAAATCACTTTTATGTGTTGGTTCTTGAATGAACTGATGAAAACCAAATTCATTTAATAAATTAAAAAAATCCTGATATTTAAATATATCTTGATATATAAATGATACTTTATATTGAGCAAAACATAATTCTAATGATTCATTTTAGGTAAGTTGAAGTCACCAACAACAATCAACTGAGACACCCAGTAGCGCAAATTATAAATAATTGAATTCATAGATTTAAGATATGCAGCATCTGTCACTGCATAAAAAGGTGGATGATAGCATGCTATGAGGTTTAATGATGAAATCTTCAAATCTCAAAGCTTGAAATCCTCATTTCTACACTTTGACTCCTCTGCTAATTTTGATTTAGTCTTTGCGATAAACTGAATAATCTTTTGGACTCAAAATAACATGTGATTTCAAGTCCAAAAGTTCATTATTAAAAAATGTTTCACAAAACTAAATTACAACAGGTTAGGTAGCCTTAGCATATAAATAAAACTTATGAAGTTTATTAGCAAGACCTCTTGCATTGAAAAAATAAACAAATGTTTTACTTGCATTTTTTTGTGAAGAAATTTTGGTATTGTTATTGGAATAAAATTGTTTTAAGTAGGTTAAATATTTATGATTATTTAACCTACTTAATTTATTACTTTTTGCATAGCTTAATTTATTACTTTTTGCATAGCTTAATTTATTACTTTTTGCATAGCTTAATCCAGTTACTTTTTGGCAAGACTTTACTATTAGCTGACAAATTCTTAAATCCCGCAAAATTTCATTTAGATTATATTTCAGTTATTATTCCCGTGCTATTTAGTAATTTTAACAACTCTATCAATATGTGTTCTTTAATAATAAGCCAAAGGTTGAGTATTTTCTAATTTTTTTTTTCTAAATTTCAAAATTTAAATCAGGTTAAATCAGAGTGGGCATAAACATTGCTAAACCTGCTCAAGGTTTTTTAAAGATTTTTGTAGTTTTTTAAATAAATATTTTTTCGTTTTTTTTTTTAAGGACAACAACAAAATGTGGTTGCTTTTCTGATTTAGATTGGAGATATAGTTAACAGTTTTTGGTTTTTTCCTTTTTTTTTAAAGTTTTATGTCCATGTTTTTACCCTTGTACGGGACAGGTTTTAAATAGTTTTCTAATTTATATGAGACTATAACAAAAAAAAATAAATAAATAGAATTAAAGTTTTTTAGATTTGTAAATCTTTTATGGTGTTAACCTGTTTTGCAAATCAAGAACGAGTATTTTTGTTGTTAAACTATCACTAGGAAGACATCAAAGTGTTACTTGCTTTTTCTACATTTAAATTTGTAAAGGAGCTTCACCTGCCCTATATGAAGCAGGTTGTATTGAATTTTATGTCATCAGTAGCAGAATGACCTGATCTGAACTGTTTTTGTTAATATTCTTAATGTAAAGTCACCATATCTCCTAAAAGTAGTTACCTTATTTTAAAGTATCCTAGAAATGACTTACTGATATGCAAATTTACTCTATCAAATCAATAGATCATTAAAGTTGACAACTTGATTAATAGGCTACAAACCAAAAAATCAACTAATAATGATAATTTCTATTTATATCTACTCAAGACAGTAAAGTTACAATATAAGTTTTTTTTATCAAATGTATTTATTTTGAAATAAAAATAGGAATAGTATCTAAAGATTGAAAAACAGTTAAGGTTACCCATACCTAAACCTGGAAATAAATTTTGATAACTAGAAACCAATGTCTGTCTTTCCAATAATATCTAAAGTTTTTGAGAGAATAATTTATTGGCAAGTTAGTGAATATCTGTAGAAAAATAATTGATCATGCAGTCACCAATTTGCAATTTGGTATAAGCATTCTAAAGAATCAGTTGTTGCATATTTTATTTACAATATCAGAAAAGACATTGATAAAAAAAACTGCTTGTTAAGCTGTTTTTATTGACTTAATTGAAGCCTTTAAAACTACTAATTGTGTGAGCTTGTTGTCTAAATTGCCAGTCTATAGAATAAATGGTTTATCATTATAACTTATAATTAATTATCTTTTTAACAAAATCCAGTTTGTCACATGATGGAAAAGTGTCCTGACACCTTCCCATCATGTGACATCACGCTGTAATTTATTTGAATTATAAATTGTAATTATAAATAATCAACTCATCTTGTAATTTCATGCAGCTCAGAAAAACTGGAAGAAATTACAAGATGAGTTCCAGAAGGTTCTATTTTTTAACGGACCTTTGCTATTTTTAATTTAGTTCAATGAATTTTTTAAAACTTAATAATAAAATATGTTGATGTATATAGCAGAAAATTACTAACAATTAAGTAGAAGTTTTTTTTACATGACTTAAATCAACTACCTGAATTATTTAGAATATAGAAATAAATGATCTCTTGTTAAACATACAAAAAAAAAAAATTGAAGCAAGGCTATCAGGAACTGCAAGAAAACTTTCAAGATGTCCTTGAATAAAACCTCATAATCATATTTAAGTACATAATACCTATCATACAAATATTTTGGAGTAAACAATATAATAATTGTTTACAGAACAATAATTTTTATTTTAAATATAATAAAATCAAAGGGTGAATAAATCTTACTGAATAAATCATGCCACATACTAGCAAACAATGCTGTTTAATTAATGTATGTATGTAGCATCAATGATTGTATAATAAAGTAAATCAAATAATATTAAAGGTAAATAAAAGTTTAACTGCTCATATAAATCTGTCACTTTTCAAAGAGGTCAGATGTATTTTCAAACAGTTTCTTAACAATTTGTCATAAAATACAAGTAGCAATGCTTGACCATTTTTAGAGTACAGCTGGAAACCATGAAGGAAAGTTTCCTCTATCAAGAAGTAACTTTAGATAATTGCTTAACACACTCTGTTTGGAAGAATATAAGCTAACAAGGAGTAATATATATATATATATGTATATATATATATATATATATATATATATATATATATATATATATATATATATATATATATATATATATATATATATATATATATATACAACCCTAAGAATTAAGTTCGGCATTTGGCTAACCTAACTGCCGACCTGAAAGTGTTTGATGTCGGCAAAAAATTGTCGACCTCGTTTTTATGTTTTATGGTCAGACCTTTGTATCAAATAATTTTTGCCGACCTTATGCCAATATATATATATATATATATATATATATATATATATATATATATATATATATATATATATATATATATATATATATATATATATATATATATATTTATATATACATATATATATATATATATATATATATGTATATATATATATATATATATATATATATATATATATATATATATATATATATATATATATATATATATATATATATATATATATACATACATACATACATATACACTTACACACACACATACACACACACACACACACACACACATACACATTGGATTTAAATAAGGAGACTGTGCTAGCCAAAACATAATTAGTATAAATTTTCATTCCAGATATCTTTAATTTAACCATGCCGTATGTTTGGGATCGTTATCTTGATGAAAGATGTAGCCATTATTAGGGAAATGTTCTTCTATACTTGGTCCAAGTTGATAAAGTAAGATTTTAGGATACAAATGTTGGTCCATGGTACCCTACACCCTGTAATGCTTTCCAAGTTTGTGTGCACCAAA